GATGGATATAGTGGCTTACGAGGAAACAGAGGAGGATACAAGCGGCTGCACCAGGGAATAAAGCGTACCAAAAGTTCAATTTTTGTAACTTTGCTCCGTCTATGAACAATAGTGGTAAACTCGCCGCTGTTATGTTTAATATACATAAGTCATTCAATTATTTTCGTAAAGGAAGGTCCAAACACATAGATATAAGAAATACATATGCAACAAGGTGTTCATAACAATCATAAAATTTATGATATGCCTATACTAAAACACTTATATTGATCGTGGTAATTTACAAATATTCTAATTAAATTTCCACTTTGCAGTTCAAATATGCATGATTGATATTAACACAATTTTCTTCATTTTCAATATTCCGTTCCATTCCCACTAGATTCTATATCATGATAACATGATTCATACATAAATATCAGTTACCACCCTTTACAAAAGAAAATAAGAAATCTGATATTATTCTTTTTCGCTAGGATGATTTAAAATAAGTTCAAAAATTTTGTAATGAAAAGTTTCTTTATTTCCAAAATAAAAGAAAGGTAGAATTCAATTACCAGGCGGATGGTTGGCACGAGCGATGACCATGAACGCGATGGAAGCGGCAAGAGCGGTGCTGCGGGCGAGCCAGCCTGGTCCAAAGACGGAGAATGCCAACACTCCAATGGCTGCACAACCTATTTGAGCCATGAACATATTGTATTTCTGAAATAAATAAAATACGCACCTACCCATCACCATGTTGATCAACACTAGCTAGCATTTTAAGGCTGCGTTTTTGCAATTAGCGTTACAATGCAAGTAAGAAAAAGCGTGTACCCGAGCCGCAGGAGCAGAAGGAGTGGTGAAGAGAATGGCAGAGACGGCACCAAGTGGTGCAACCGACATTGAGATCCCTTTAGGGTTTAGCATTTGATCTATTCTTCCCATTATGGCCATCGCCGCAAACGCTCCTTTTCTCATACGAAAATTTAACAAACATTTTAAATCTTTTGAATACACACAC